TGCCGGGGTTTCTTCTGCTTGTCGGTGTTTTGTTGATGCTGCTTTCGCGCCGGATAGTGGTAGGGTTGCTTTTGGGTGTGCTCTATTTTCTCCGACGAACTGTTTTCTTGCTGCTATTAATGGGGAATTACTGTGTTCTCCAGACCCTCTTATGGCGGAGGCTATGGCGTGTCGTGAAGCTCTATCATGGATCAAGACGCTTGATATTCATAACGTGGAGATCTTGATGGATTGTCAATATGTGGTTTCAGCAATTTCAGATACTTCATTCTCTCTTCTTATTTTGGTTCGTTAATTGTTGAATGTAAGGCCTTGGTCGGTTTTTGCTCTAGTTCTATCAGTTTTGTTCGTAGAGAGTTAAAAGTTGTTGCTCATTCTCTTGCGAGGAGAGCAGAGGCCCGTCGTTCTGTTTGGGTTTCTACTCCCCCGGATTTTGTAATTCCTCTTTTACAATAATGAAGTTTCTTTACTTTCAAAAAAAGAAACTAGTTAAAAACCAAAATAAACTTAAGAGCATAGGGATGTATAATAATAAATATGATGTTTTAAAACCATGTAGCCAGCATTTCTATGTTTTATCATATCTAGAGGTACATGACATTGCTACGGATAATAAGAAAAAAATGTGCTTCCTGTATATTAGCTTTTGCTGCAGTGCATTAAAAATGCATATGTGAAATTATTACCACTATATATTGGATCTTAGGTAGGTTGTTGTGTGGTTGAGGTGGACTTTTTTGTATCACACTCATCCGTCTCAGCTTGATGATGCATTTACTTTGTTTTTAAAAAAAATCAAAAACACCAATTCATCATGCTTTTAATTATTTTCTCAATTTTTCGAAACCAAATAACTCTAATGTTAAAAAAATTAAACATTCCCACCACACCGCTACATTTAATTTATCATAAAAATCAAATATATTAATGTGTACCATCTTGCAACTCTAGTTTTAAGTAATAAAGATAATCATAATCATGTTGTTAGTCTTTATCAATTGCTCCGTATTACAAAATATCTTTTCAGCATAGATTTTTTGAAAAACAAAATTTTAAGTATGAGGCACATGTAGTCATATGATAGATTATACATTGATTTATAAACTTCAAAGTGATGACATATGTTTATGTTAGAAATTTAGAAGTGGAAGTATGTTCTTGTCTTAAAAAGTGAAGGTATAACAAGTACGAAGTATAACACAAGTTACAACTACATTTGACAGAAGGAAAAAAAACATAAATTGAGAGCGTTAAGCATTATTGAAAATTATAAGTTCTGGAAATTGTAAATCAACATCCTTGCTCGCTTAGCAGAAAAAATACTTACAGCATACAAAGTCTCTGGAAACTGCTATTATAGCACCTCAAATCCCATAGGGCAAAGGACCCATCTCTTGATCCAGATACAATAATGTCTGCCATAAGTAATAACACATCAAGAATGAGTGTAGAAATATAGAACAATCCTTTTGGATAAAAATTTAAAGGAATCAAGATAAATAGGTAGTAGAATCACGAACATACTGTGATTTGTAGGATGTACACAAAGAGATTTCACACTTCCAGTGTGGCCCATCAATGCACTTACACATTTCTGTTCATTTGCATCCCATACCTTTATCTGTAAATTTTTCATGTTAACAAAATGTTTTTCCTAAATTTCAATGAAACTTCAGACAATAATCGTACAGACTTTGTTTACTGAATTATGTTACAATATCACTTGAACACAAATTGACTTCTACATAAAGTGTCAACTTTCCAATACAAAATGTGATTCAGGAAAATTGTGCTGGGAAATAGCTGCTTACACTTTGATCGCCCGAAGCTGTTAATATATTACTATCTTCCTGCAAAGTATCCATATATGATAACTATTAAAACGTGACAATTTGTATTAAAAAAACATAACAATGACTTATTTCAATTCGGGCTAGTAATATTAATCGCAATTACTTGATGTAAGAGCCATGTTCCATTCAAATCCTGATTATGGAAGTTCACACATATTTGGGTCAGGTATCAGATACTAGAGAGGGCATTCCATCAACATTAATAATGTATACTTAAATCATCACTAAAGCTCTAGTAGTCAACTAGAAATATGCCTAATAATGTAGTCACTATGGTGAAACACCATAGACTAACAGAAAATGTAGGTGGGGTAAGTGCGAGCAGAGGCTAGGAAAATGCACAAAAAATACTATGCTTTAGTTTCATTGTTAGTATTATTGGGATTTTGTTGGCAAAATTAGTTTCATCCACTAATTTATAGGTGATGATTAAGTTGTTTTGTTAAGGTGTGTCAAATATTGTTGTTGGCAAACAATCATTGAAGACCATAATAAACAAGGATTTGTCTATACAGGTCTTTCCTTGCATGAAAATTAACAGGATTATCCACCAACAATATGGCTGTAACCTATTCCTTGAAATTAGTTTTTCAAATCCTTGGAGTTCATATTTAAAGAGCCAAAGAGCGCTTTTGGAAAAGTCTTGGGAAGAAATTAAAGGTAAAAATTGCATTAGGGTTTTGGTTTGGCTATAAGTACATATAGAGAAACACGCTACTTGTGACAAGGCCGCACAACAAATGACGCACTTGAAAATAAAAACCCACAACTTATAATTCTCGGTTTAGCACGCTGCTTCATTTTTGTTTGGCAAAGTAGAAAACAATAGCCAAATTGTACATCTAGAACATACGATGCTCTAAAACTACCTTAAAGAATTATTTAGATAAATGATCACATGTTAAATTCATTTATTGTTATAAGATGTGACATCCCTATTGTTATAAGAAGGGAAATTGCAGTCCTATTTCTCTCACCATTACTCCCCCGAGCAACACAAACATGAAGATATGATACCTGATTCCAACAAATGTCAAAAATAGCATTTTCATGTGCAACCCATTCAGAAATCTTAGCCCTTTCTGCAAATTATAAAATGCAATCATGAATGTATGGCAAACAGTTTAATGAATACCCTTGTTCATGATAGTAAATTGGGGACTCGATTTTACCTGCATTTTCCAGGTAATTGGAAGAAGACAGAAACTTTGAGCGTGTATTATACAAGCTAATGTAACCACCCTCATCCGAAACAGCAATTATATGGCAATTATTACTTGTCTGCGGACACACAATGATTGAGGTTATACAAATCCACTAAAATAAAATGCAAAAGTGATTTTTTGTTTAGAAGATAGACCTTGCAGAAGGAGATAGCCATGGGAGGAGATGTCTGACCTCCGTGCTCAACAGAAACAGATCCTATTTCACTGAATAGTGAGGATTGAATGCTTACAAAAGGTCTTTTTTTCACTGAGCACACAAAAACCATCAGAAATGTATAAATAAAATATTGGTGATTTATGTGCTGGTGAGGAACCTGTAGATTAGGGGTGAGGCGTACCTCTGAATCCGTTGAGCTCCCTAGATTTAATGTCTTTGAAAAACGATATGTTCCTTCCGCACTCCATTCTAGGTTCGAGCAATCGAGCAGATCTAAATACCGAGTGCCTTGAGCTGCGACGGCCGACGACGATTCAGGGTTTCAAAAAACAGGGCTCTTGCGCTCTGGTTAGAAATTGTGGTGAAGAAATGGCGGAGTATATGAAGGGAGGTGGGATCAGAGTGATTGGGACGGGAGATTTTGAAATGGCGGGAGTTTGAAGGCGCTAAGTAGGGTTGTTCATCTTTAGATATGGACGGAAAAACGGTCGGTCTAGAGTTCAAGTTTCCATTTGGTTCTGTCTAAACCTAAAATGATAAAGGTTCGAATCGATTGGATCGCATAACCTTATTAAATCTAAAAGACCTAAATAGGTAAACTCTACTTTTTTAGTTCTTTAATACACTTTGATGCTTTACTTGAATAGATATTTTAATTTATTAAATTAAAAAAAAATTTAAGAAATTTTAAAAAAAAGTTCAGCATTAGTTTTTACTCTGTATTATTGTACATAGAACTAGTTCATATTGTGTATCTATTTTTAGGTTGTCTATTTTTTTTCTATTTGTACGCTACAAAATAAAAAACCTAAAATATTTTTTTTGAAAGACAAACAATCATAACCTAAAATATATTTAACTGATCAAAATAATTAAAAAAACATTTTTATTTGATCCAATAGCTCTAGACCGGTTCGGTTATAAATATTTCGGTATGGCCCAGTCCAAACCTGAATAGATTTAGGTCCGATCTTCGGTCTGTGATTTTAATCAATTCGGTCTTCAGTCTGATCCGAAACGGTCTAGTTCAGTCCAATTTTGGACCGATAAACACCCCTAGCCGTAAGTAAAAGTAATTGCAAAATTATTAGTTACCCAACAATTCAATTCTACATCAAATTTATACACTAATAACATGTTCTTTAGTGTTTGAACTCTTAACTTCCAGTTTCTTTCAGTTCTTTCCATTTCTTTTTAGTTTCTTCCATTTTCTAATAGTTCTTCCAATTCCTTCCAGTTTTTGCCAGTTCCTTTCCGTTTTTTCCAGTTTTTTCTAGTTCTTTCCTGTTTTTTCTAGTTCCTTCCAGTTTCTTTCAACTATTTTTATTTTCTTCAAATTCTTTCTACTTCCTGACCAATTATTCTAAAAACGATATTATTATTATTATTATTATTATTATTATCATCATCATCATCATCATCATCATCATCATCATCATCATCATCATCATCACCATCATCATCATCATCATTATCCTTAGTATTATTATTATTGTAACACCCCGAAACTCATCCAATCCGAAATTAATTAATTAAAAATAATTAATTAATTATTGAGACAGACCCAGAGTTAATTAGAAATATGTGTCAATAAATTATAAGAATTGTGCCGTTGTGTAGGATTCGACAAGCTAAATCTAACGGTGCAAACGGATATGAATTTGGAGCAAGTTGGCCCGAAAAGTGTATTTTCCCATATACATTATTTAATTACAGAGCACGAATCCCAACATATGTAAATACCCCTCCCTAACGTACATGTGCATGTTTACACACCGCACGAACCTCACCATCTCTCGTTTCTCTCTCTCTATCTCTCTCTCTCTCTCTCTATCTCGTTCAACATAGCAGCACAGCGCAAGAACCAAGAGAAGAAGAGAAGAAGAAGGAGAAAAAGATCGTCGATGCTCGTCGATGTCCCGCCGTCCAAGCTTTTCATTCATGATTTAGTTTCGTCGTTTCGAGGTGAGTACGTGGAACCCTAACGGTAGAGTAAGTAATTAAGTTTGAAAAACCTATACGATATTTTAAATCGGGATTCTTGGGGTTATGATGAAATTTACAGGTAGAACGCATGTATTAGGTGTATAATTGATATTGCATGATTACGTGATATCGAATATGTGTTTGCCACTGTGTTTGAATGCTGAATTGGAGAAATTGGTGTTGATTCGACGGAGAAACGAGCTGGTGTAGAAAAATTAGAAACTTTGTCGCGGATGACGGTAGGTCAGTACCAAAATACTGCCATCCTTCTCGTTTCAACCTTCCTCTATTGGTACGTGTCACCAAACAGTACCCATGTACCGGGTGGACGGTAGGCCCTGCCGCTAGGTCAGTAGCGACTACCGTGAAAAGCATATCGTCCGAGAGAAACGGACATTCCAGACAATACCCACGTATTGTGGGACGGTACCCGGTACCGTGGGGACGGTACCCTCTACCGTTAAGGGTACCGTGGGATACTTGAATCGGACAATAGTTCATGATTCATCAAGGATTGATTTCGAGGCTTGTGTGTTGCATGATGGGAAGGGGTGACAACACCTAGACTAGACAACTATTTGTTGGAATTATGTTACAGGGGTTGATCCAACATATATGTGACAATGTAAAGTGTATAAATCTCGTGACTAAAACGCAAGTGAGCTGATCTAGCACACAGTATACAAGTATCACGTGTTGATCCAACATGTTCATCAAGGTAAGTCTACCTAGGGGTGGGCACGGGCCGGTCCGGGTCAAGAATTCTATAAACCGGACTCGGCTTGTTTTTATTTAAACTGTCCGGGCCGGAACGGGTTTTCATAATTTTAAAATTGAAACTGGACCTAACCCGGCTTGTTCAAAACGGGCCGATTCCATGGGTCAACGGGTCCAAAACTTTCATGATACTAATATTACAAATATAAAGAAGTGCAAATAATTTAATGATACATACATGGTGAACTACTTACTCATAGAATGATACTGGATTATGTCTCAATGCTACTGGATTAGAGTATTGCTTGTACGGCCTAGTGAACTACTTACTCATAGAATTTCCTTCTCAGCACCTAAATTAAGTTCACATTTTTCACCAAGTTTACCCGTTGGAAAGAAGGAAAATGATAACGGAGTATTTTTTTTAATGATGCAGGTTTTCCCCATTTACGAGTGTCCTCGTTTTTCAAAAGTCCTCTCACAGTTTCTTAGATAGAAAGAATCATGTTTTTGATAGGCGATTTGGATTGGATCTGGACGCATAGATCTCCTACCTAAAAAATTCTGAACTCCGTAAAAACATTATTTTGACAAGTTTCATTAAATCTTCTCTCATAAATGGTCGAATACTGCTCAGAAATCGTACCTTAGTTTCGATCCCCCCGACTTAAAAAAATCGAAACCGAAGAAGATGATCACAGTTTACGGCTAAACACAGAGATTCGCAGCATTAGAGTAAAGAGATAGAGTCATAGATGTTAGAATAATAGACCAACGCTAGAGGGGGGGGTGAATAGCGTTTGATCAAGAAATCGCAGGAATAAAAAAGAATAAACGAGAAATAGAGAGAAAAGAAAGAGGCACACCGATTTTACCCTGGTTCACCACAACTTGTGGCTAATCCAGCCTCCCGAGAGACTCTTTCGAGCTACACTACTATCTCGTTAAGCTTAACGGTGCTTAACAAACCCGTACAACTTGAGAATTCGAGTCACACGAACCTCAACGAACCTTCGAAGGAAACAACCCTTCCTTCGAACAACAAGAGAAATACCTTCTCTTGTCAAGTGTCTAAGAGCACTAAAAACACTCAAGAACAATACTCTCTTTTAGAGTGGATATTGAGTAAACTAAGAACGCTCAAAAACACAACACAAGCTTCACAAAAATGGCTCTCAAAAGCTATGAATAATTGAAGAATGATTTGCAATGAAAGAGTAGGAGTTGTGAAGTAATGTGTTGTGTAAAACAGACCCAAACACCCCATTTTATAGTAGAAAAATAGGCTCCAACGGACCAAAGTATTTAAGGGGTGATTGGCACAATTTGTGGGATTTGATAAAATTTGGATCTGCTGAAAATCACCCAGACAGCGCTGTCCTAGGCCTGGACATCGCTGTTCTAGGCTTGCGGTTTGAAAAATGGGAAGCAACGGTCATGCCAACAGCGATGTCTAAAATCCCTACATCGCTGTTTTGGCTGTTGACTTCCAAACAAGGAAAGTTTTAGCCTTAAATTCCTTCCAACGGTCAGGTCTCTACATCGATGTTC